AAATATTCCGCGCGAAAGCAGGAAAAATGACAACTCACTCACGCTGATACAGTCATGTACGTCTGTCGTCTGGTTTACAACAAACGAGTTCTTCCTCGTATCGATAATGGAGTCAGAGAGGACATGTCGAAACGAAAGTGTTGTAAATGTTGACGAGCGGCATGGGTTCCAATTCGTTTTGTGACCAAAATAGTTTCTTTGAGCTGCGATGCAATTTACTCACCGTGTGACGAAAACGACATCGACACGGACTCATTCCCAAGGCCATGACTTGGCAAAGCTATCCGTGTGACTTCGACGACATTTTGAGAAAAGTAGACGCTTGTGAACGCTGATAGAAGACGGCGTTGACTGCTAAATTCAAATAAATTGGCGATCTTGAAATACTAGAATAAATCTCAAAAAGCTACAGCGCGATGACTTCCATATTCACTCACACCATTGCAGTGTTGTGGGTGTGTTCACATGGCGTGAGCCAGTCAGTGTCAGTCAGTTCGGCAGGAAGCGCGAGGTCCAACAACAACAACAAGTCGTTTGGTGCAGCCATCTTCTTTGTCTTGTACCAGCTTGATCACCAAAACAATGAAGAAAAAAAGTTTGACTTGAGGATAGGTTGGGATTTGAACTCAAAACTTCATGGTCAGCAGACAGCATTCATAACCACAAGGCCAAAAAGGAAAGGATAAATCGTGGGTTTTGATAAAAATCGATACTGGCTTCCTGGGCAAATTGTAAACCATGGGAAAAGGCCGGAAACCTGGCCGAAATTCTAACTCCTTAACGGCTGCTCCAATTGTTCCGAAACCTTCACAGAACAATTTGCCGTGTCCTAACAAGCCATTCTATGTACTTTGTTGTCCAAATTTCCCTTATCTTCATACTTTTTAAGACCCAAACCTGATTGTAAATCTTTTTGAAACAGACTATAGGCACCGTTCAACTGCGCAACCCCTAAGCAGTCAAATATAAGCAGTCAATATAGCCCTAAGGAGTGAAATATGCAGGAATATTTGACTGCTTATTATTATTATTATTATTTGTGCTCCCGCGTCAATGGGCTCGCCCAAATTCGCTTGCACCGAACCATGCGAAAAAAGGCCACCAGCAGGCAGGCAGGCAAAGAAAAATAGAAAATGGTGTCACATAAACTAATACAAACAAGAATATCATTATTGATGACATTAATATACTGAATGAATGGCAAAGGCCATGTGAATACGGATAATACGGATAATCAGAGTACCAACAACAAAGAATGTAGCTCAAACCATTGCAGTGCCAACTTCCTTCACCAGTACTCTGCCTTGTACGCATCTGTAACTGCGTTGCACAGATATGTCCATTCACGGCGATCCAGTGCTCGCTGAGCCATCAGCTGCAAGTCCCCTGGAGTCCTCAGACGGCAGCCGACTCGCTCCGCGTCTTGATTCAGCAGGACTGGTAGCGTGATCCGCGGCCGCCCACGGTATCCCGGCACGGAGCAGCCAAAGAATCCACTCATGGCCTCCCTTGCCGGTGTGTGCTCATCTGATCGCAGGATGTGGCCAAACAACCGCCATCTTGCATTCACCAGAATGTTGCCAAGTGGAGCAGCACTGCAGCGCTCGTAAACCAAATCGTTCGACAGTCGGTTGGGCCACCTGATACCCAAGATATGCCGAAGTTGCCGCCGATGATACGATTCCAGCGCTTCAATTGTCTGTCGAGTGATGCCCCATGTGGAGCAGTTGTAAAGCAAGACAGGTAACACGAAGCAGTTATACAGCCGGACGCGCACCTCCAGACTCACTTGGTCTCTTCTCTTCCATAACTGGCAGAGGGACTTAAACGCTATCGCCGCAAGCTGCTTTCTGCGGGTGACATCCTCTGCATCACCAAGGAGAGAGCCGAGTTTCTTGACCATACGCCATGGCTCATCAGCACGATCGGCCTCTCGCTGGATGGCTGTGAATTCTGTCTTGGTCTGGTTGACGGTAAGGGACCATGTACCCAAGATGGTGGCAACTTGTGGCTCTAACATCCGACGCCAATCACTAGAGATACTGATGAAGTCCACATCATCGGCGTACTCCACATCGTACGGAAGATGCCGGGCCACAGGTGCAGCCATTCGCTGTCGCACATCCTGCAGGGCAGCTTCCAGGTAGATCACGAATAGAATTGGCGACAAGGAGTCGCCTTGCGGGGTACCAATGTTAGTGGAGAAAGAGCTTGATGTTTCCGTGCCCAGTCTGACTGCCAAATTCGTATCTGAGATCAGGTAACGGATCAAGCGTACCTCGTCTTCTTCCAAGAATCGCTGAACCACGTCCATCAACTGTCCTCGCCTGATCGTGTCAAAGGCACGTGACATGTCGATGCCCAGTATGCTGAATGACCAGTGGTACCGCTGGGTCGTAGCTGCTAACCACCGATGGCACCAGACCACATCAGCTGTTGACCTTCCTGCACGAAAACCACTTTGGTTCAGTGATAGGAAATCGTTTACGGCTGGCGAGATGCGCTTGAGGACTACCAGCGACATGACTTTGCGTAGAGTTGTCAGGAGGATGATCGGTCGCAGACTGGTTAAAGCACCCACCGGCTTTCCGGGCTTCTGGAGAGGTATTAGTGTGCCATGACCGATGAATGGCTCTACCCGGTGTTGCTGAAATAGGCTGTTGATGCATCGGCTTATGACGGGAGCAGTGGCATCGGCTGAGTACTTCAACAGCTCACCCGGGATGTTGTCGGGTCCTGCAGCTCTACCGTTGTTGAGTCTTGCTAGTGCTGTTTTCACTTCCTCCGTTGAAACGGGATGCTGCAGCGGTCGAGGTTCCCCAGTGAAGGATCCAAATTGCTGAATTGCAGAGTCACTGAGCTGCGATGAGAAATGATTCTTAATCTCCAAGCTTGCTTGCTTATCATTACATATGATCTTGCCCTGGCTGTCCTTAACGACGACTTTCTGCGATGGCTTTCGCCGGAGCAAGTGTACAGCTTGGAACATCTGGGCCCCATCCTTGAGCCTCTCTATCTCCTCTGCTCGCGATATTAGTTCATTTTCTCTGTTTGTGATGGATCTGTTCCTGATATCATGCAGGATTCGATTCCGGTCAGTCCTCAACATTTCTCGCTCGATTGGGTCATCACTGCCCTGAATACGGAGTCGGACATCTCTCTGCATGCAGGAAAGTCTCTCGATCTCTGGGTCATGGTGACGATGACTGGTCTTGGCTGTCACACCCACAATCTCTTTGCCCGCGTGGAAGATCTCTGCAGCTATTGCATCCCATCCGGTGTTGGGCTGATCTTCTGACACCCTCTGAATTCTGTCTGAGATGGCAAATGTTAGCTGATTCTGCAGTTGTGGATTCCCGGGTAAACGATGCACTGCTAGGCGATCCACCTTCTTCTGGCTGCTCCGCGCCGCCCGACCCCATATGCCGAATACTCGAGGTAAAAGCGTGCGAGCCACCACAATCCTATGATCTGATGTGACTTCCGTTCCATTGTAACTTCTGGCGTTGGTGAATAGTCTCTTTTGCGATTGACGGCACAGAATATAATCAATTTGGTTGTAAATGTTGACAATCTTGCCACTGGCTCTGTCAAGTCGCTGTCCTGTCCATGTGGTCCTGTGCCTTGCAGAGTGGCAGAACGCTGTGTTTGATAAGAATAATCTGTTAATTTCACAGAACTGCACTAGCGTCTCTCCGCTGACATTTCTGATTCCACGCCCATGGCTGCCAATACATGATTCGTCCTGCTGCTTCGTTCCAGCTTTCGCGTTGAAGTCTCCAACAACAAAGAAGAGGGAACTCGAGTCCACGTCATGTATAGCTCTGGTCAAGGTATCGTAGAATTCATCCAATTCAAAGTTGTTGTCTCTGCAGCGAGCTGACGTCGGGGCATACACATTCAGGATACTCAATGTCGATTTTTTTCCCAATTGTAACGAAATTCCAGCGACTCGGTCAGAAACGCTCCAAACTCTCTCGACTCTCGGCTCCAAGCTGCTTCTTACTGCAAATGCCAGACCATAATGACGACAGGTTGGCGACAGCGTGTAAAGAACATAGCCACCACAATACTCTTGCCTCGTTTCACAAATTTTAGTTTCCTGCACGGCACAAACATCAATTTTGTACTTGGCCAAATCACGACAGAGCGCTTCACGTTTGACTTTCGACGATAGACCACGTACATTGAACGTCGCTAAACTAAATTGGCTTCCTTCCTGTCTGAAGAAGCCCCCATCCACTAGGTTCGATAGAGACATATCCCAAGAGAGGGAGAGAAGGAGTCACCCTCCTCAGCCAAGATATTTGACTGCTTAGGTATGGCAAAAATCTATGCGAGTCAATACTAAGGGAGTGATAATCATGCGTATGGCACTTGTTGTTGTTGTTGTTGTGTGAGTGCGTGTGTGTGTGTGTGTGTTTGTTTTCTTTCCTTTTCTTTTCAGCTGTCTTGTCCTGATCATGCCTCATGCGTGTTTCACAGCATAGTACGTTTCCGCTCATTTTCTTCTTCAACACACGTTAGCTGTATTACTTTGTTCTTGCCCGTACAAGAGGCTTTTGTAGGTTTGGAATCAAGGGTTTTCGTAGGGTACCGGGTAAGTACTTTTTCATGTACAGTACAATATAGTACAGTACTGCATGCGGCAAGTAGGACTCGCCCATCCCCCCCCCCCCCCCCCCCCCCAAAGCGTCGAGGAGGTAGGGGCGCTCTGAACTGTTGGCGGGATTTTACGGTAATTGTAGTTTTGTCAACAAAACCGCATGCACACTATCCTTCATTTGTACGTAGTACGAACGTATTGGACACACGTGCTGTGAGTTTTCGTAACCCCCAAAACTGGCAAAAGTGTGCAACTCTGCATATGGGGTCTCTTTGTGCGTATCACTCATTTGGTCTATCGTACAGACTTTCAACTGAGCCTGAACTCGACCCGGGTTGAAATTTCTCATGTAACCAAATTTGCAAAGCCTAACAGTATAGCATTAGTGCATGAACCCGGTACATGTAGTCCCGCACAGTTCTTCTTTCACAGTCATCATTACCATTGCCAAGAGAAGGAGCACTTTGGCCCGGCTTTTCCGAAAAGCACTACTAGCACTGGTATTTCTCTGTACGACCAATCGGCATTTCGCAACAGAAGGAGGGCTGTCGAGAGAGGGAACCCAAGTTCCTACGTGGCATAATATCTTTGGATCTCACAGGCTGTTTGCAACGAAGACATCATGAACGCTTCAAACTTGTGTGTAAGTACTCAGTCAATATTTCTATAGCTGTTAGTTCTCTTTGTTGTCACTTGTAGACATCTACTGTGTTATCAAGAACATAATAATATTATGATAAGGGGTCGTCCGTATTATTCGAAAAATTAAAAAATCCATCCTTAGGCTGTACTCACACTACTTGAAAAAAACGCATACAAATGACTTACGTGTGAATGTTGCCACGGTGACGGTTGCGAAAATGAAAAAAAAGCCCTTGAAAGCCGCTTGAAAGGTTTCAGTGGAAACGGAACCCTCTTCTACCAGGTTTTTGCTTTCAAGCCGTTTTGGAAAGCTGTGTGAGTACAGGAGGCCGGAGTACTATTGTACGTCGAAAGGCTCTAGAATATTTTTCATGCTTTGTTTCCTCGTGGTCGTACTGCTCTTGTACATATACTTGTAGTTTCCTTTTTTGCCTGTCATTTCTGAATTCTTTGGTGTTTCCGAGTGTTTTCCGTCTTCTTTCTTCCAGTAGCTTCCCGTTGTTTTGATTGCCGTTTCTGTCGCATTTCTTTTGTACCATTGCTTTTGTCCCGACATTATGCCTCGCGTAGTGTTTTCTGACGACTTGGAGAAGAAGTTCATCGAGCTGTGGAGAGAAACCTCTTCATCCGTCGACGTCGACAATGTGCTACTTCTTCGCTAGGCATGGCGAATGAACTCCACGATCCAAGCAAGATATAACTGTTTCTATTTTTCTCATGAACTGAAAATTTCAAATAAGTTGATCGAGCGCAAAAAAATTGAAGGAACGCAGCCTCGGGATTTGCAAAACTACCACATGACAATCATGTATCTCCATGGCAATGTGCTGCCAAAAATGTTTCAAATCGTCACTGGAGTGCAGTGTGGTTGGAAAGGCTTTTTCAAGTACTTTTGTCTAGTTTTGAACGCGACATTCGCGTCAACCTTTCAAGTAGTGTGAGTACAACCTTATGCAGAAAGGCCAAGGGGGTGGGTGGTCAAGAGCGCTGGCGGAATTTAATTTTTCGATTTTTCGTACTTTTTTTCTTTTTTTTTTTTTTCGTCAGTGACTTTCATACACTTGTTGCACTGACATGTAGTGCACTGTAGACGTAGTGTAGGATCGCAAACACCAGTATGATATACCGGTACATGACTCTTTTGTAGTTGTAGGACGTGCATGGCCGTCGGTAGACCTACTCACTTTACTTAGCTACTAGTACTTGACATTCATGTACATGTAGGTGCAATCAGTGAACATGGGGTCAGGACTCAGGAGTTCTTTTTTTCGAGCCGGGCATCGGTAAAAATCGAAAAATTAATGGGAAAAAATTGGGAGGTGGGTGGGTGTATCAGAAAGAATTGTGCACGAGGACGGATTTTTTAATTTTTCGATAATTACGGACCACCCCTAAGTGCAAATCGGCATGCCCTTTAATACAGTTGTGGCAAGTGAAATCCAACACTTGGCATAAGGGACTGCACCATGCAGTCTTCAGCCCCTGCAGCCCAGCATACGGACAGTACGAGGTCATTTGCTATTTTTGGACACTCTAAATAGCACCCCATTATGTTGGTTTGTAAGATAACTTAAATGTCTTTCTTGCTTTCTACTGGCACACTTATGCTTTACCACCACCCAACACACCTGAAGGCATAGAGTTGAAGCATGCGGTCACAACTTGACCTGATTCATGCATTGCCCTGCTCTAGTAATGGTTCATGAATCCGCCCAGCCCACATTCCTTCTCCGTTTCTCTCCGTTTTTCTTTCCTTTCAGTTGCATCTTCCTCTCTGCTCTGTTTTATTTTCTCTTTTCGTTCGTCCCTCTTGATATTTGTACTTTGTACTGTGAGGCAACGAACTGAAATAATAAAACCAAACCCAACCAAACCATTGAAGGTGTCTTTTTCTACTCCTTTTTCAATGCGAGCAATTATTGGACAAGTAAATTAAATAGCATCTAGCAGCAGTCTGCAATGGTGTGAACAAGTAAAACTTGCCCAGGACATGAAAATGGGGTAAGGGTATGCCTATGAGACCGGCTGATATGAGTTCTAATGACAGGCCATAGCAAGCTTTTCAAGGCTTTTCAATGTGACACACAATTTAAAGGGTCACTAAAGGTTTTTCACGGACGTAATATTCAAGAACAGAGGAGAGCACTCCAGTGTGGCCCGTCTCCTTCTCATATTTCGCAAAGAGTGGAGGGCTAGCGTCGTAACTAGCCGCTGCGTCCTTCTTCGTTAGGAAGTGCTCACTGGTGCCAGGTGAGTGGAACGCTCGCACTGCTAAAAGAGATTTCTCCTGACCAGAACCCCTCCACAAACGCACCGGTTGAGAAGGCGAGGAGACTCTTCCAGGCGGATTCAAGCTGGAAGATGTAGTCCCTGGAGTTGATGGAAGGGATACAACATCCCCCATGTCGACATTCTCTCCGTTATGCGACGTAGAGTCAACGGAATCCTCAATCATTTATTATTTATTCGAAATTTTCAAAATTACGCATTACATTACCTAAGAATAATAAAGAAAACGCCCAGAAAGAAACGGCCTTCACCGCTAAAAATTGGCACGAAGAAACTTGAGGACCACAAGAAGACACTCTTGTCAAAGGTTTGTCCACCAATGAAAGGACAACAACTCAGGAGGATTCTACTTCCATATTTAACTGATTTTCCAAAAATTACGACATGTCCAAAAATTGCGAACCACCTCGTACATGTGTTACATACAACTTTATCTGTCTGATGAAAAAACTCGTACTCATCACAGTCAAGGTTCAAAAAAAGCTGGCAAAAATGAATAGGGATTGGATACCAATACTCCGTATGTGTACCATGTTTGTGAACTGTGTGTATCTACACTGTGACCTTTCGATCTGTTTGGGATGCATACGGCTCTATAGTTCAAATTAGGTGCAGTACATTACATCATTGGTGTCCATTAGGGGTGAAATGAGTATCTATTTTGACCAACCCATCACTCGTTCATAATATTCGATCGAGTATCCGATTATTTCGAGTATTTTATCAAAATTCAAAAGCGCTAGATTTGCAAGTTCTCAACCAATTTGGAAGAAATTATCTGTGAACATAGAACAAAAGTCGCCAACGTCTTGTACATAGTGTAAAGTAACGATTTTCATCAGTACTTTCATATCTCAGAACGTTACTTGCCGTGGTGATCGCATCGTCGAAGTCTTAAAATACTGACTCAAAGCCATGCATAACGCATGCATACCAGTGGACCAGCGGTACAACAAAAGTAAAAAAAAATACAATGCCAATCCTTCAAAAAAATAAAAAATAAACAAACAAAAAACGATCGAGTGCAAAATTTCGAATACTCGCTCGTTTGAAATTTTCGATCGAATACTCGAATATTCGAAATAATCGTTTCACCCCTAGTGTCCATTTGTGGTGCTGTCCCCTATGACACGTGTCGGATTTCACTTGCCACAACTGTAGATCCGCAAACAGCGAAGGTTTCACACATCACGTGGTCTAAATCTCATATTGTACTTTCACCGCCCCTGCCGGTCATAACAAGCAGCGGATTAAATGTTCCAGCAGGGGTCTCATCGATTGGCAAATCTGGATTGAGTGCGGGCACACGGTGTAGTCCGAGCAACGCTGGCCCAATCGAACCAAACAAGGGTGTAGTTCGCAACATGTACGCATATTGAACAAAGATGATGTAAATGTTGTCAAAAAAGCACCAAAGTTGTTTGAATTCTTTATTCTCACGATGGCACCATCGCCAAGAAGAGATACATTTATGAGAAGGTGAGATTGTGGGTTAAACAGTTGGAAAGTTATTTACATCACTTTAAACCTTACAAGTATGGGAGAGGGTGAGCGCTGCAGGAGCAGATTGAGTTAATCAGCAGTGAGCAGATTTCTTGTTTGAAAGCAGGTCGGGAGGAGACGTCATGAATGCTAGCAGGGAGGGCATTGTAGTATTCTAGGGACTTGTACAGTGGGGAGTCTTTACAGCGATCGGTTCTGGAGGGTGGGAGGTGCCAAGTGCGTGCGTGTCGAAGGCTGCACTGGGCCGTAACCTGAGCGGGGGTGTTGAGCATGCGTATGTGTTGTGGGGCATATTGATATTTTATGGAGTGAGCAAGCTGTTGTTGTTTTTGTTGTTTATTTAATATACATCGCATGTCAAACGGGCAGTTCTGCCCAATACCGTAAAGTACAGTTGATCAGCCCCCACGCCATGCCGTTTCTCAGCTGGTTTTTCGACAGGGGGGTGAGAATTAGATCAAGGCTATCAAGTGCAGTACGATGTACAACAACTTGGAGGATCAGACTCGATATGCTAAATTGTGCACATTCTCATCCTGGATTGGCACATATTGAGTACAGCAGTGCAAGCGTCGGTTCAACATCGTATTTCGTTGTCTACGCCGAAATCGCTTCACAGGTAGAAAATCGACAGGGGGTGGGAATTAGAGAGGGGGCGGATCAACGATATTTTATGGTATTATGAAAGCAATGACAACCAGTAAAAAGAGTCAGAGATGAAGAGAAAGTAAAATTAAAATTATAATACGACAATGGAAATAAGAGTGAGGGGAGGCAGGGTTAGGAGGAGCAGGAAAACGGTTTGTATTATAAACATGGGAAATTGTGGACACAAGGTATGCTATCGATTTCCATGTTTAAAAAGTTTCTTGGCTCTCCATCTGAGAAAAAGAGATCTCAAATTTACAAGTCGGGTCATCGTAGCATGATTTTATCGAGCCTCATCAGCAGGTTATGAAAGCCATTACATTTAACAGAATAAAAATATGCGTAGCATGCGTTTGAATCCACCGTCAGATACAAGCGACTTCATATTGTCGGGCAGGCCATTCCAGAGTCCGTAGCTGGCTAGACACCTCGGTTGAAACACCTCCTCCAGCAACGAATCCACATACATAGAATGGTACTCACTCACCCGTCAGATCATTAGCTTCGGCAGATGTATCGTGCAATACGGCGAGAAGGCACTCTCCTCAATAGGCAGCTGAAGTCACAGTATTACATCAGAGAGTTCGAAAATCGTCACCATGACCCACGAGGCTAATGGGCCAGTATCAATAGCTAGTCTGGTAGAACAGCAGTGAGGGCTGCATCAGCAGCCACACTCGCTGATCTGACGACTACTAGTGCCTTTGCCGAGATCGTCCATGAACCTGCCAGACCAGTCAAGGTGCCCCTGTCTCTTGCAGACCCCAATGGCGCTACCCTTTTGGAGTTTTATACTGTCAGCGTCGATGCCATCTCGAAGTTGCTTGAATCTCTTGCATCCAGCGAAGCCACCGGCTCCTATGATATTCTGTCCGGCATCCTGAAATAATGCAGAGATTAAGTCTAGTATCCCCTAACTTTTATCGTCCCCCAGTCCCTTCGGTCTGGCATCTTTCCTGCTGCCTACACGATTGCCCATGTCTGCCCTGTTTACAGATCCGGTGATAAGACCTCAGCCACCATCTACAGACCAATCTCACTGTTACATATCGCTGCCAAGATCCTAGAGAAGATTGTCACTTCGTATTTCACCCAGAATCCAGACCTATCTGCCATAGCAGCTGAACAATTTGCGTACCTCTCACATCATAGCTGTGAGGATGCCCTGACACTTTGCATAGACAGAACTTGACTAGAAGTCTTTGCGGATATGGGCAAGGCGTTCGACCATGTGCACCCCACAGGTCTACTGGATGAGCTAGCCGCAACTGGCGTAGGCAACACTGTCCTCAAGTGATTCTCAGACTATCTCACGAATCGCTGTCAGCAGGTTACTGTCAGTGGTGACAAGGGTGACACCAAACCCTGTACAAGAGGGGTCCCCTAGGAGTCTGTTGTCGGGCCTTTGCCTTTCTGCATGTACCTTCGCCGAACACCCGAACTTATTCGCGAGAGTATGGTGCAGCTGCACGCTGATGATATTGCGTTCTACGTATCCGGCTCTGATGTGGCTACAATCATGCTACGCTTGAAGGATAGTATGCGGTGGCTAGAGCATCACCTCGATGAAAATGGCCTTCGGTTCAACTCCTTTAAGACACAGGTCATGTTGATGCGGCGTCCTGCCCTGCTTGCACGAGCCCATCCTTGTAAAGTGTACCTGCCCTCTAAAGATATTGTCATTTCCCCTGTCTCTACTGTGAACTACTTCTGTATACTAATCGATAATTTTTTTTTCTAGGATATGCAAGTAATGCGTATGTGCACTGTTTGAAAACTATCCCATATACCCAGGCTGGTAACGGTCAGCCACATTGCGATGAAAAATGCATTTGGTTTAGATAGAATGACCCCAACTGCATTAGTTCTACAACTGTGTCATCTGCATTCGTTTGAGTAAAGAGTTAATTTGAAACTATACGGTTTTGTCTATCACTACTTGTCATCAATTGCTAGCACCTCCTTCAATCACTATTTACCCTGCGTTCAGCTGGCCCGCACACAAATGCTCATACTCGTGGCCAGGATACAGCTGCCTTAGTATTACCTACTGTAGAAATTGAGTATGGACTGCACTCGGTTTCATTTCTGGCGGCAGGTCGGTGGAATGCTATTCCTCCAAATTGTCGTTGGGCACAATCTGCTGATACATTTGCTCACCTCACAAAGATTCACCTAGGGTTCCCTGTAACAATGGCGGGGCCATGCCTGTTGGGACTCCCTAGTCTAATAAACACTACTAATACTTCTACTACTACTAGCCCAGCCACCTTCAGTTCTGTGCCCTGCTAGAAGCGCATCATGGCTTCCTTTAAATGCTTTTCTGCTGAATGGATTTCTGTAGTATAGCGGACTAAAGAATAGGAAACGTGTCACTCAATATTGTATTATGCTTTTTTTTTTAGAATGAGGTCTGTCTCGTTATCCAGGAAACGACATATGAGCAACGTTGCCGCCAGCGGCATTATCAGAGTTTAAAGCCAGCTCAATCGTAATTTTACTACTCTTGATATTAACATGAGAGAGCTTGGAAGCTCAGGGTCCTACGCTAAGATTTTTTTTGCCTAGCTCGTGCATGTTATTAGAACTGATGGAAATGTTTTTTCCATTAATTGGCTATAGTGTTTTACTTCGACCATGACGGCTACAATGCCCAAACATACCATAACGAACTGATCGGCTACATCATTGTACTGCAAATGTTTCCATTTCTTCGAATAACATGCATGATGAGCTAGGCAAATGAGAATAGCGAAGGGCCCTGAGCGAAAGAAAATAACTTTCTCTTTGCATTCGAAGGTAATACGACACCGTCTACCACCTTGATGACCAAGGCGAAAAAGCATAGTGATGCTATAAATTTTTCATCTCTCCTAATTTACTCAAGACATAACCTAGGATTCGAACCCGCACTATCACACCGTATGCATCCCCCGATACACTTCGCACACATACTCATTCTTCCAAGCTTTTGCATGTTATGATCTTGCATTTGAAAGCCCTATTTGAATATTGTGGCCAGCTGTCTCTGATGGTACGGTACGAGACAGGTACGGGATAGCGCCAGGCATGCCGACGTACGCGACGGCACAAAACAAACAAACACATGGCATTAAAGCTGTGTGGACCCTGGCTAGCGCAATACGTTACTGAAGTTACACCTTTTGCATAGCTACGGGAATAGCAAAGTCTGGTAATTCGAACCTCAAAACGGGCATATGTTCTTGGGGTTGGATAATTGGAATGCCCTGGCATACTGGGGTTTGATTTATCCAGATTCTACCTACTAGTATATTTTTGCACCTCAGCGTTGACTTTCTCATCTCCTCCGCAAACTTAGAATGTTTAGCGTCCTTGTGTTTGTATACAAATATTATGTTTAGGTAATTGATAACACTGCTAGGTTGTATTTTTGAGTTTCTACCAGAAGCCGTAACGTTTTCTGTTCTGTTCTGGTTGTGCGTCTGGTCATTTCCTTTGGATATTCGCAGGTCTTATCGGTGGCTGTGATTTGTATGGTGCTAGCTTGGAGTGAACCTTCCAAAGCCTGTGTTTCGTGTACATGTAGCAACGGAGTTGTCATGTCTTGCCAAAACATTGCCCAAATGTGAGTTCTACATGGTCTGGCGTTTGAAAGCTTTAACGTATTCAAAGCAGCAATTAGAAATATTCAGCACTTATGCCCATACTAGTCTTCACATTGAACACTATTCAATGATGGAGTTAATCTTTTGATCCTTTTGAATGAATGGAACAAGTTTTGATGCAGATAATACATTAGGGTCTTTTCAATAACGTTGTTGCATGCCTTTTGCTACACAAACGTCAAGGTGATACAAAGGCACAAAGTCGCATAGATCAACTGATTTGCCGAGTTGGAGAACCAGCTTTAGAGTTACACAAACAGGCGGTGGCGCCTCCTTTTATACATGTGAGCGACATACACGGCATGGCAAGGTTATTGATAATAGTTATGGGAAGTGATGGGGAGGGGAGGAGAAAATATCACAAGTGAAAGAAGTCACAAGGGTAAGAGAAGGAGAGAGCTTGGAAGCTCAGGGCCCTACGCTATGCTTTTTTGACTTGATGACCTAGACAAAAAAAAGCATAGGGATGTTATAAATTCTTTAAAAAAATCCTTTTTTTTTTAAGACATAACCTGGGATTCGAACCCGCACAATCGCGCACCCTGCATGCATCCCCCGATACACTTCGCATACAAACTAATTCTTCCAAGTTGTTTCACATTCTGATCCTGCATTTGAAAGCCCTATTTGAATATGCATTGTGGCCAGCCGTCTTTGATGGCACGGTACGGTAGGGGATAGGTACGGGACAGGTACGATCGAGGGTAATACGACACCGTCTCCCGTACCGTACCATCAAACACAGCTGGCCACATACAGCTGCCCGCAATATTCAAATAGGGCTTTCAAACGCAAGATAATAACGTGAAGCAACTTGGAAGAATGGGTATGAATGCGAAGTGTATGGGGGAATGCATGTAGGGCGATAGTGTGGGTTCCAATCCCAGGATATGCCTGAAAAAAATAGGAGAATTGAAAAATTTATAACATCCTATGGTTTTTTGCCGTCAGATACGGATAGCACCAGGCGTGACACAAACAAACAAACACAAAAACAAATACCAAATTAAAGCTGTGTGGACCCTGGCTAGCGCCAGACGTTACTGAAGTAACGTCTTCTGCATACTAGTAGCTACGGGAATAAATATATTAAAGTCGGATGTTGAACCAACAATAACTGTAGAAATGAAAAGGACATTTGGATTCGAGTTAAGAGTAACTCTCCATCACTCTAACTAGATACTACATACTAGTATTGAAACGATCTCAACGGGTACCCGTCAGCTCGCTCGCCAGAAACTCGGCTCGTTTGTGCGGCCAGCTCGTTTGCACTAACGAACACCGTACTCCGTACACATGGCAGTACATGTCGACCGGGGAGTCATAAAATACGTTACGATTCCCTGGTCGATAGAGAGTCCAGTCCCGCTCAAAGTGAAAATCACTCGCAGTTATAGTGTCTGGATGCCTGCACCACACTTGAGTTGCTTGTGTTGTCATTGCAGCTTTGGTGGACTCTACTGATGTCTTGTTCCGCATCTGAGTGAAAGTTACGCTCAGTCGTTTGGAAGTTTTCTCCCGCGATGCAGCGAAGACCAGGGCTACTTGCAATCTTTGCAAAACGGTCTATTCTTACTTGGTCCGACTTATTAAAATGTGCGTTTCGCTTCGAACGTCCACCAAACAAATTCAAATAATCTCAGGACGGAATAAACTATCCAGCTACCTTACACTATCCTTCAGTGGTCGATTTGTGATGTTGAAGAAGAAATGGCTCCAACTCCAAGGAGGCAGCGCCTCAGGATACTAGTCGACTCGAGCATTTTGCGTCAAAATGTTGTCGTAAGAGGACTCATGTTGCTTCTCGCCCAACACAGAAAAGGGCTGGTGCTAAAATCAACACCCCATTGCGATGGGGAATTGTCACGGAGTACCAGAAACTCCTTGGCGATCGTCCTCGAGTGCCTCCTGGCGGATTGAAATCGCTGCAGTCGCTGTTTTCTTGGCATAATGTCAGCAAATGCGTCATCCAGAAACTCGTGCAGAAAGCACCAGCATCGCTCCGTCCAGTCTGCTGATCTCTCTCGCAGTCGTTCACGTTGTGACGGCCGACGAATCAAGATCACAGAAGAGATCGTTGAGAAGTTGATCGGAATAAATAACCGCCCTTGAGGTCGACTTTCAGGCGACAACCTGGCTGGAAAACTGAAGCGCAGAAAGGGTGAATTATCCTGCGGATACGGTGCGTGAAAGGTGCGGAGTCCTCGGAGCCGCGATCGCGATGCGTCACAAGATCGCCAGTCTCTGGGGCCAGTACTGGAGTGGATTCGTGAAACAGGCAGGGAGCAGTGAGCACGCATGGTCTGACTGCATGCATGACAGTCATTTCGACGCCGATCAGACTCAGTACGCGCGCGTGCACACACGGTGAAGAGAAGTGATTTGTTATGGGTGGTGGTTTACTTCTTCGCATCTTTTTGAAGGTGTCGTTGGAGCGTCACGCGAAAACACCTATAGCCACCATTCTGGCAGTCGTACTGCACGAGGAGGAGGCGAAGTCGATCGTCTAAATCCGACGTGCCTATGGAGTGAAACAATCAAGGAAGCGTAGTGTAGCTTGAAGGAGATGAAAAAAACTGCCGACGTTTTGCAGGTTGACGCACTTGCAGATGCGCCCTGAGACACCAGCAGCGATGAAAACTAGAAGGTCAGGCCAAGAAACGATAAAGTAGTTAACTATCTACCGTCACTTGGTTGATTTTTTAGCACAGGTGTTCCTTTGTACATATGCTTGAGTTTTGAAGCGAAGCGCACATTTCAATAAGTCGGACCAAGTACAAAGGCTACTTAACCACGGCGCCGAAAAGACATCTCGACACCAAACAGCAGTCCAAAGTGAAGCAGCAGCAACCCCAATTATGCCAGTGGTGATAATTTGCGGTGATAATTTGAACCAGCTGAAAAATCGAACTTTGAAAAAAGTACATTCAAAAATTCATATTTGCCACATCAATGAAACTCGTTAGCTCGCTCGATAGCTTGCTCGTTAGTGGAACTGATAGTTTTTTTCTTTTATAGATATGCTCGCTTCACCACTACTATGTACAGTCAGAAAGTGCAAGAACTAGGCACAAAACTGACAGAGTACTGAGACATCTTGAATCGTGGTTCGACCTTATTGTCCATTGGTCTTGCTAGTATCGTCATCGCAATGCATGAACATCTGCCAACGTCCTTCTCAGCGCAGACTTTTAGCTCATGCTTATCTTGCTTGCGCTCACCTTTCCCTCCTGATGTTATTTCTATAACTTAGAACCTTTCAAGTTGGAAGGCTGTTGGAGTGCACAACCAAGATCTGCTAGAGGTGTTAGCCAGTTAGTTGTGAAACCAGGGCTGTTCCAAGTGCGACATTTATCAATATGGCGGCGTACCGTAGCAACCCGCATCGCAACAGCTCGCGTACGCACAGCGTACCGACGCGTGCAGTCTTTCTGCACATTTTTCAAATTAATCGAAGAAAGTTTTTGTTTTTGGGGCGATGGATTCGTGCCTTAGAGAGGCCGTATGAGGCCATGCTGGAGGAGAATAAGTCTACCCAGACCTGGAAGCCTCACTTCGGCGAAGTACTGAAGTTAGTATGCCCTGGAGTCAATACAGGAATTGTTTTCAAGACGATGCAGTGTAATAAATTCTAGTAATGTAGTGCATCATGGAATTCGGTGTGTTTGAAACTTCGGAACAAGAAGGGAGCACGTTTGCTTGACTCACTACCATCATAATGTGAACAGATGGAACCCCACTGCTCTTATTCTAGAACATGTTCTCCCCTGAGGACAGCTTACAGCCAGATTTCCGTGCATAAGAAAAGAGCACAAATAAATCGTTAGACTGATTGCAATTCATCTTGGAGAAGGAGAAGGATAGAATTTGATCGTCTGCTCCTCTCAACGCAATATTGATGACATAGCAGCTACATGTACGTCTCTTCATGCGTGTGCTCTTCACCTTGGGGATCAATGTGAGGATTTTAGGATTGCTGGAAATCAGATTCTGTATACTATTGGACAGCAGTTTCTGCATTGCACATGCTCCACAGTGCTCATCGACAAGGATGTTGAATTTGCGTGTAACCCTTCACCACCCTGCTCTCCATACTATTCCAGATCAGCACTAACTGAACATTGAAGTGTTTCATTTCCAGTAGAATGTGCTCCTCCAATAAGTGCAGCATTGGATGCGGTGATATTTATTGCCACAGTTGCACTGCTGATATTCGTCATGAAAGAAGCAATGGATGATGGTCAAGTCAACCAGTGGGCTTGCAGTGATAAGCAAAGTACCACAATACATCATCAAGCGTCATAGCATGGCGGAGTTGGTTGCCCGCAATGCTTCCATGTTGGTGTTGTTAGTGTACAAATAGAGGATATCTTCCAGTCTCTAACTTTTAAAGCACATGGACCTGCTGTAGTGTTACTCTATCAATGCTTGTTTCAAGTTACAGAATTATTTAGCTTCTTACAGCTTTGATTTAATTCACCGTATTGTAATTAATGCGAAGAAGAGGTTGATGCGACTTCGGCGATACTTGTGGAATTGTGTGTTCCTCCCTATGTGGGAGCTTGCGCTCTTCCTGCCGACTTGAATTCTCACTTGACCGACTTGTTATTTTAAAATGAATTCATGGACATCTGTCAATTCAGCAGGTGAACTGCATTGCCATCAAGCCCTGAGCCAGCTCCATAGGAATGGCACGGTCATGAAGATGCGTGATGCTGTGTATCTTATTCGCATCAGAATAAGAACCTGTTTGTTTTGGCTACACACTCCGGTAGCACCCGATGCTCTGCATAATGCAGCTTGTACAGTAGTCCTCTCTGAAGAAGAAAGCAGTTTAGGAGGGACTCTAGTGAGGAGTGTACGAGGATAGCCTATTAGTGTTATACATAATCATTTGCATATTGAACATGTTACATGTAATTATCATGAACGCCGAGAGTGGTAAAACCGGGTACGGCCTTCACCAGCGGCTGCGTGCCTGTCCTGCGTGCCATGCTGTGCTTAGTGCTGATGCAGTGCAAGATATAATTATAAGCTGAATCATGGTTGCCGTTTGTTGTTGTTCAATTACTTTAAGTATTTCCGTATGGTCTTCACGCATGCAAGTGTGTGTTTTTCAGCAGGATCATCGAAAGACTACATTGTGCGAGGCCTAAATCTGCAGTAAAACTAGTAATACAAAAAACCCATGCCTATCTGTCTAACATTTAAAATCTGTACACAATGTCCTGCTTCTACATACATTTCGAAAGCATGGATTTCAAAAAATGTTCATCGGATGCATGTCTGATTTGTACTTGCTGACATCCAGAACGAAGTATGCACGGATCCCTCCTATGGTGGACGAAACCGGGGTCTTCGTTAGACATTAGACACCCTTAGCAAACAACGATAACGCTATTTTTTACGGTACTCGTACCTTGATCACCCAAATAGCGTTGAAGCTGCAGCGTATAAACGTTATGGGGGCTGATTTATCGTTGTAACCAACGGTACGTGTTTTGGCCAAATACTGCATAGTCCGTACGCATTTCACCTTGTACCGCGTATATGGTGACAACAATGGTTGTACCGCGCGAAATGAAAGCTATTCTCGTGGCAACAGCGTACTAAAAATAGCGTGCATCTTGCTAAAGGTCGAACCCAAATCACGGTATTTTCCCCCTTACGATAATACCGTTACAACATAACGTTTTTTGCTAAGGGTGTCTATTGAGGCAGGAGAACACACCTCCACTCGTTCTGCATATATCAGCAAACACTTGCAAATGACGTCCAAGTACGCCACGCAAATCAACTTGGGCATGAAAACGATAATCTGGGCGGTAATGAAAATATAACTACGACGTAGGAAAAGGACAAACCTTTCAATGAAAATTGGCGTGAAGGCTGCCAAAAATTCTGCACCCCTTAGGAGGAAGCCTCAAATGTGAGCCAATTCTGATAAACGCCAATGGCCGGCACGCCGAGGAAGAACGAAATGAAAAAGATCGTAACTCCACTTTCCCATTGCGCATTTTGACGATCAAAATATCTGCTTGCGCAGTTTGAAGGCAGGAAGGTGAATTCGCTGAGACTTCGCAAATCAAGCGTAGAAAGCGGCTGGAATCGACAGAAACATAGGCTAAACCTTGCCGAATATTTCCAGAGATTTGAAAAAGGCAGCAAGGTCGTGTAAGACCGCATCATGGATCACTGGGGCGACGGGGAAATGTCGTACGGTACATAATGTCGCTGGATTATGCATGCATTACAGCCGTGAAACATCTGTACCGTCGGTCAGTGTCGTGCGGTATTATCGCACGAGCTGATTGTTTAGTAACTTGTGGTGTTAATGGACTGTATAGCATAACGTGTAGTTCCTTGGTCCGTTATTTTGTGTATAAAATACCGCTTTATTCTGTGCTTTATTGCATCTAGTTCTTTGCGCTCTAACAATTTGACGAATCTCAGTGGCTCAGCATTTCAGAATAACAAGAACGTTACGGATATGTAAGTCAATTTTCAAAATGAATCTCACTCTAAATGGCAATCAACAGTCCTCACTATGCGGTAATGATGCTTAAGGCTGCGTTTACACGATTGAAAAAGATTTGCGTTTACACGACAACGAAATACAACCCAACCGGAATGATATCGTTGGGTTTACTACTATCGTTTACACGACAACGACCGAAAACGATACCTAAACGGAACGAAATGGAAAAGCACTTCAAAGTGTTTTGAAAAGTTTTCAAAACGTTTTCATTCTCGTGTAAACGGTGAAAACAGTGAAAACGATTGGAAACGGAGCGCGGTCATTAAAAACCATTCTTTGCCAGAATATAACTAGCGGGAAACACCCATTCCTTGCGACCACCAGCACGTACCAACTCCAACTAACGTGTTACTTCCCGCCCTTGCGCCAAACCAGCACGTGCTAACTCTAGCCTGATCGCCCGTTTTCCGTTTTCGTGTAAACGGTTCAAAACGATTTTCCGTTCTCGTGTAAAAGATTTGAAAACGATTCGAGGCCAGCCCGTTTTCGTTACGTTTCTTTTCGTTTCATTTTGTCTTTGTGTAAACGCAGCCTTATTCCCGTAGCTATGAAAAAGATGGGGTACATGGACCGCACAGCATCATCAAAGACAGCTCGTCACCTTATTCAAATAGGGCTTACAACTGCAAATTCATAACGTGGTTGTTGTCAAAACTTTATTCTCACGGTACCCAGTGACCAATAAGCGATAATGGTGTGAGAGAGGAGGAAGAGTGATGAAAAATTGGGTGAGCAGGAATTAGTGAATACGTGTATGGGCAGGGTGGTCGCTACACGAGCATACAGAGTTCTGCAACAGCAGGGATATCTGGGATTTGAAGAGAGTGGCAGAAGGGATTTCGCGAAGCTGGGTGGACAATCAATTTTAAAAGTAATGAAGGACATTGTACAGGCAGAATGGAGACAGGGATCAGTGCTTCCGGTCTGGAGTCCGACCTAGGATGTGGAAGACGGCCAACATGGTTTAAATCCACAAGCAATCTTCCCGCTCAAGCCTTAAGAATTACAGGCCCGTACCCTTGCTGTCAAGAGTACATAACCCCCAAGAGTGTGCAATTCCAGCTATGGGGTCTGCGACAGCAGAACTTCACATCACGTGATGAACCCGTACACATTATTTGTACTCTGTGCATGATAGATACAGGGTTGTACGCAGCCCAGCTTTGGGTACTTTGGGAACTCTCTTGTCGTCACTTTGCACTGTTTGCCAGCATAACCTTTTGAACCATGTCACGTTATGTGAAGTTCTGCCGTCGCAGCACAGCATAGTGGTTGTGCAGGCAGTTGCACACTCTTGGGAGTTATGTACTCTTGTTGCTGTGCATAATCTCGAAAGTCATGGAAACTCTTATTGTTATGCTATCTGGTGCTATCTGGTGCTATCTGGTGCTATTGTTATGCTATCTATGCTATCTGGTGCTATCTGGTGTTCACGAGGTGTTTGTCGCGCTGGAAGCGGAGCGTCTCTGTAAGTTTGTATCCCTTTAGATGTTTGTGCCTGGAGAGCACTATATAAGTGGTGCTCTTCAGGCACAATCTTCCTCAGCCTACTCAAGCTCAACTGATGAGGGGTGAATTCCCCGAAACACTGTGTATTGAGCAGGGAGTGGTGCTTTCTTGCAGGTTTGCCGAGTCAAAGGTTCGATGGACTTCTCGTGTGCTCTGGATGGCAGTCGTGAGTCAGTCAAGTAAAGTCGGCGGAATAGCGCGAGCTCCGGTGTGGGGAGCAAACCCTTTCTTACAAATCATCGCCGAAGTCGCAACCACTACTTCGTATTATTATTATTATTATTATTATTATTATTATTTAATAAGGATGGCGTAACTCCTCTGTAGCCTTGTCATGATTTCTAATCTTCTTTCACCGCCCACGGCCGCACAAAGTCCTTGGCTACAAAAAAAAAAATTAAATTCTCTCCAAATCTCTCAAAACCAAACTTAAAACTCCTTTCCAAATTTTCGCCCAAGAGGGCATCTTCAGGGATATGTGACTCTTGTGAACAAAACAACAATATAACTACAGAAAATGGGTAATAACAATAACGTGGCAATATACCAGGAACATCATAACTAGTGCTAAGAATTGAGACTAACATTGAAGATAATGTCACATATTCAGAAACAAAAACAGAACCTACCCACAATATCGCACGCCAGGTAAGAGCCTAAAAAACAAATGTCTCAACTTGCAAGATCTCAAGTCAGGTGATGATGGGTCAGCGTGAAGTGCATGTCTCAACTGGTGTGATCGCCAATTAGATGTGAAGGTGACGAGGCCAGAAAGAGAGAGAAAGAGAGAGAGACAGAGGCAGAGAAAGATAGTGTGTGTATGTATGTGTTTGTGTGTGTGAGTGCACGTGTGTGTGTGCGTACGTGTGTGTGTGTGAGCGTGCGTGTGTGTGTGTGGGGGGGGGGGGGGGGTGTGCGTGAGTGCGAGCCTCACGGGTGGTAATTGCATCCATTCGATGAGATGGTCTTGCCCACAGTAACCATGAAGGTCCTGTTGTCTTGATGAATTTATGCCGATAGTCTCCATCCAGTGTCACAGTTGATTGCTGGCTTTCTGCTTCTGATTTCGGTTGCTTCCATGTACTTGCGGGAAGGCAGCGAAGACTCCCTGCCGAGAATCTTGGCGTGGTGGAAAGGCTGAAAGTTAGGCGATGATGTTGCAAATTCTCGGTGGTCAGACTTGTAATGGCCCCCCCAGGGAGTCTTCACTGCCCTCACCCTTGCCTCTCGATAATGTTCCTTGAATCTTTCCCTCACTGGACGCTCGGTTTCCCCGACGTAGAGCTCTTCGCACAATGTACATGACATACAATAGACTACATTCTTCGTCAGACATTCACTGCTCTTCACATCCGCGTCGCATGCTCTGCACACCATTGGCCTGCCAGGACCACGCTTCACCTTCGCACGCTGCACATCACGCGGACACATACGCGTACCAAACGACGAACGGACAAGTCTACGCTTCAATGACGGACCAGACGTGAAAACAAGACGAACATCTGGACTATACTGACGAACACGGCGAGAAATCCGAGCGGCCAGTGCATCATTGATGAATGGGAGCTTGAGAATTGATTTATTCGGCTTCTTCCATGGATTCATCTTGCCACGATTCGGTTTCTTTGCTGTTTTAACTGCCCGCTGAATTTCTCGATCTGGATAGTCGTTGGCTTCCAGTAGCGCTGTGATTTTCTGGATTCCAGCTCCTCTTCCCGCCTCCGTTGAACCGTTGGAGATTGCCCGACGACACTGATTAACTGCGACTGCACGCTTTGTTGACAAAGGGACAGACGACAGGAATGACAGGTGAACTCCGCTGTGTGAAGGCTTGACAAACAGCTCCCACTCCAACGTACACTCGGGACTGACACTCAACGTCAAATCCAGGAAGTCGATGCTCCTGGTGTCGTTGTCGGAGTGTGTGATGGTGAATGTTATGAAGGGGTGTTGGTTGTTGAGATGGGCAACAAACCTGCTCAGAGCCGCTCGTCCATGTCGCCACAGCATGATTATATCATCGATGTAGCGCTTGAAAAGCCTTCACACAGCGGAGTTCACCTGTCATTCCTGTCGTCTGTCCCTTTGTCAACAAAGCGTGCAGTCGCAGTTAATCAGTGTCGTCGGGCAATCTCCAACGGTTCAACGGAGGCGGGAAGAGGAGCTGGAATCCAGAAAATCACAGCGCTACTGGAAGCCAACAACTATCCAGATCGAGAAATTCAGCGGGCAGTTAAAACAGCAAAGAAACCGAATCGTGGCAAGATGAATCCATGGAAGAAGCCGAATAAATCAATTCTCAAGCTCCCATTCATCAATGATGCACTGGCCGCTCGGATTTCTCGCCGTGTTCGTCAGTATAGTCCAGATGTTCGTCTTGTTTTCACGTCTGGTCCGTCATTGAAGCGTAGACTTGTCCGTTCGTCGTTTGGTACGCGTATGTGTCCGCGTGATGTGCAGCGTGCGAAGGTGAAGCGTGGTCCTGGCAGGCCAATGGTGTGCAGAGCATGCGACGCGGATGTGAAGAGCAGTGAATGTCTGACGAAGAATGTAGTCTATTGTATGTCATGTACATTGTGCGAAGAGCTCTACGTCGGGGAAACCGAGCGTCCAGTGAGGGAAAGATTCAAGGAACATTATCGAGAGGCAAGGGTGAGGGCAGTGAAGACTCCCTGGGGGGGCCATTACAAGTCTGACCACCGAGAATTTGCAACATCATCGCCTAACTTTCAGCCTTTCCACCACGCCAAGATTCTCGGCAGGGAGTCTTCGCTGCCTTCCCGCAAGTACATGGAAGCAACCGAAATCAGAAGCAGAAAGCCAGCAATCAACTGTGACACTGGATGGAGACTATCGGCATAAATTCATCAAGACAACAGGACCTTCATGGTTACTGTGGGCAAGACCATCTCATCGAATGGATGCAATTACCACCCGTGAGGCTCGCACTCATGCACACCCCCCCCCCACACACACACGCACGCTCACACACACACACGTACGCACACACACACGTGCACTCACACACACAAACACATACATACACACACTATCTTTCTCTGCCTCTGTCTCTCTCTCTTTCTCTCTCTTTCTGGCCTCGTCACCTTCACATCTAATTGGCGATCACACCAGTTGAGACATGCACTTCACGCTGACCCATCATCACCTGACTTGAGATCTTGCAAGTTGAGACATTTGTTTTTTAGGCTCTTACCTGGCGTGCGATATTGTGGGTAGGTTCTGTTTTTGTTTCTGAATATGTGACATTATCTTCAATGTTAGTCTCAATTCTTAGCACTAGTTATGATGTTCCTGGTATATTGCCACGTTATTGTTATTACCCATTTTCTGTAGTTATATTGTTGTTTTGTTCACAAGAGTCACATATCCCTGAAGATGCCCTCTTGGGCGAAAATTTGGAAAGGAGTTTTAAGTTTGGTTTTGA